AGCGCCGCCGTCGCCGCCCCCGACGGCTTCCTCTACCTGCTGCGAGGTAACGCGATTTTTGCGCGAGGCCGACAATAACTTTTGTGTATTACTGATTCGTTATTACTCCATACTTATCTGGATCAAGAGGACTGTGGTTACTGTGTAAATATGTAAATACAATACTTGCATGATGCTACTCGTCTTATGAAGGGAATTAGAAGAGGTAAAAGACAAACCGAGTCAAATGAATGTTAATGAAAAAATCTTGTTAATTAGAAAAACGTAAATATAAATTATTAGAACTGGGTAAAAAATAAAATTGTGTATGTACCACAGGCGTTAAATGGTTCTAATAATCTCAGCGAAGAAAAGTCGTTGGGCTAGAGGCCCTCACTGGCGATTCCTGGCGCTTCAACTGCTAAGGTAATTAGTCCTATCAGTGTAGGGCATGTTCTTTCTCGGGAGATGGCGCTGATATTCCCCCGCTCGATGGTGAGATCCGCCTCCAACCTACCGTCAGCTAGCGGGTTTTCTCCAACCAGTTATCTCCCATCAACGGGGCACCGACCCAGCGGGACAAGCTCTAAATTCCCGACCGGCCTCCCGACACGTGTAGAACATGTAGTGCATGGAAGTGGAAATAAGGGGTAGGAAGGGAGAAGGAATGGAAACGAAAGGCCGCGTGTGGTCCGTTTGTTAGGGTACTGCTCCGGCATTCGCGTGGTATTGTCGGAGAACCAGGAAAAAAAATCCCCTTCAGACAGCGAGTGAACTCGAACCTCGCTTTGTAATGTTGGAGTGGTGGAAATTGTGTCGAAAATACTGCAATCGTCGCGACCCGAACATAGGACCTCCCGGTCAGAGTTACTGCAGTGGCATAATTTGATCCCCCACGCCACCTCTCCCGGTATATACTTCTATGCATTCACCTAGCGCTTACGATACTTGAGCATTAAGATCAGGTTAATGATAGGTTTTCTCCGTAATGTCGCGGGAGTATCCTATAGTCGGGAGCTGACTTGTTTGCGCGCAGGGGCTACGCGGGGTGCGGGATGTCTGCTGCCTTTTCTCGAGATACGTCACCATTACTATGACAACCGAGCAACTATTCGTACTGCTGACATCGGCCCATTTTCTACAAGCTTGCATTATGAATCCCAATCCAGGCTCGGTACACGGTTCTATACCACGTACTTTCTGTCGTGAGAGTGCTTATTGTTTGTAACATAAGTGTATAACGTATTAATTTTAATTTTGGTGGATTTTTTTGTAACTTTTGGTGGAACGGTATGGCTTCTGTTCGGGGGAAAGGCCAAACAATACACTGCGAAGCTAGGGAAATTAAACGTCTCGTTATTAATAAATGTGACGCAGAAAAGAATTCGGACGTTCTTCAACTCCCGCTGCATAACAGCAATTTTTGGGAAGCAAACTTTACTGGAGTATCTGTTCGAACTGTGACATCATTTAGAAAAGAAGGACTTTAAGCCGACGGGGCAGCCTTGAGTACTCCCGATAAGAAAAGGCATTTTGTGAAGAAAAGAAAATTCCACTTTGGTGACTTTGATAAGAGGGTGATTCGTGATTTGGTTCATGATTTTTATACTGTTAGAAAACAAGTACCAACTGCATAAAAACTGCTGACGGCAATCCAAGAGAAAATTAATTTTCCCTGGGGTGTGCGCACATTGCAAACCTTGCTCCAAGACAAGTTTTGATTGAACGGCCTGACAACCTCAACTGGAGAGCAAGATATTTGAGAGGAATTCAAAATTATAGAAATGATTCGAGACACAAAATTTACCTTGATGAGACATGGGTTGACAATAATCTTACATTGTGACAATGCTGGAGTAGCGAGGATTTTCCCGGAATTTTGACAATCATCCACTTGACTGAAGTGAGAGTCAGATAGTTACTTGTTTTTATATATTTTAATAATGTCATCTTTCAGCATATTGTTATTAATTTTGTTAGCTCTACTTGTTGGCTTATTTGTTTTACTTATTGTCGTATGATGTTTTACCTTTGGCACTTGGAATAATATATTTGGGGCAGCTAGTAGTTGCAGATTAGGCGGGGGAAGGCAGCTTCCAAGAACACCGAGAGCATTCCTCAGCCTCGCAATCAAGTCAGCTCCCAACTATAGCTGTTATCGTTTCTAATTTATAAAATAATTGAAATGTATAGAAAATTCCAAATATTAAGGCGGGCTACCAGCTGAAATTAACGCTGTATTCACTTTGATCCGCATTCACTTGTCTGTTCGACTGTCAACTCAGAGCACACCCGCACATACAATACAACCCTTCCAACGCCTAGAATTACATAAAAAAGACTCCTCTTATTAATATTATAAAATAGATAATTTATTAATAGAGCAATTATATAAACTAACTAAATAAGTAATAAATGTTATCTACATAACAGTTACATTTTAAAATTATACGATGAAAATGATTATATACGTTTAAAATTATACTACGAAAATACTACAATAATCAATTAAACATTTAAAATTATGTTGAATTAAATAAGCACATAGTTTTCAACATGGAAATACAAATTAATAATTCATAACAGCATTATACTTTTCTTAGCGTATTTGCCACGCATAACGAAATAATCTTTAACATGCTTGTGGTTAGGGAGCAAGATCGTGTGTGCTAGTAACAATTGTGTACTGCAGGTGTCCTATGCTAGTTTTTACCTGAAGTATAACTTCACAAACACTCGTGTTCAAACAGAGAAACATATCAAACAGAGAACATGCACTTTGGGCAAAATTTGAAATACGGAGTAAACGATTCACTTCTTCAAAGAAAGATGTTTCGAAAAATATTATTTTGGTGTTAGGTACCTTCCAAAACGTGTATTTCCGTTACACTTAGAGCATCGACAAATGTAACTTTCATTATATTAGACATATACTGTGATTTAACTCGTGTTTACTTTTTTTATAAAAAAGAGAGAAAATACAAGTATGAAATTGTGTAATAAATCGTTTAACAATATTAAATTTAACAGAATTGGACATAATACTCATCTGTCATGTGCTCAATTTAGAGTGGCGCGCATTCTATCAATATTCGAACGAGTTCGGAGCTCAGGAAAGAAGAAAAGTAAGTGGGGCGGAAAGGAAGACTAACTTTGCACTACTATTCAAAGAAGAGATTTGAACTTATTGAAAGGTTTTTTAAAAAGGTGAAAATAGTATTGAGCGAAACACGGCCGGTAAAACAAATATTGGATTAACTGGGTTAAAACATCTAATATCGGCTCGGTTTACAAACTTCAAATGCGTATTTCCTGTTTGCCGGCTTCATTACCTTAATATGAAAAAGAGACAGACATAGTAATTGGTTTCCACGTAAAAAAGGCAGTTTCCATTCGAGGCGTGTGTGTCCTTGCAACAGTGAATGCTGAATGCGTACACGCCTGAGAAACGGTTAAGGCTGCTTTGGGCATCATCTAATCACCCTGCAATGCCTCTGACCGGGAGAGGTAAGGTTCGATTCTCGACGTTGGCAGGATTTTCGACACTAGCTACATAGATAAAACGAATTGAGGCACTGTCTAAAGAAACATTCTAGAGACTGGCTGCTCTGATGAGTAGTTTCTGTGTTTTTTCCGGTCAACACCAGGCGAATGTCGCAGCAGTACTCTAAGAGATGGGCTATAGACCCACGAACTTTCCTTCCCCTCCTTTCTCCTACCCTCACCCCTTACTTTAATGACCGCACATGAGCGGAGAGCAATCGGGAGCTCTGAGCTTGTCCGGGCTGGGAGGGTTCCTCGCCGTTGGGAATCACGTGGTTGGAGCAAGCCGACGGCGCCAGATCTCGCCTTCCACAGCCACATACAGAAATCAAAACGTGCACGTGTTGGTGAGTGCATGAGTTGGTGGTCCGGGCGCAGGTCATGAAGGAGTGGCGCGCTGCGCGTGTGCGCAGGCGCGTGGGTGTTCCGCCACGACGGGCGGCGCCTGTCGCCGCCGGCGCCGCTGCCGCTGGCGCGCACGTGGCCCGGGCTGCCGGCCGACGGCGTCGACGCCGCCTTCGCCGCGCGCTCAGGGAAGCTGTTCTTCTTCAAAGGCGCGCGCTACTGGCGCTACTCGGCCGCCGGCCAGCCCCCCGACCACGGCTACCCTCGGCCGCTGCGCCTGGGCTTCCCCGGCGCGCCCGCCGCCCCCGACGCCGCGCTGCTCTGGCCCGCCAACGGCCAGCTCTACTTCTTCAAAGGTGCAACCGCACTTCCGTCTCAATCCCCAACGGGGGGTGGTGACGTCACGGTCAGCGTCGCACCGGATGTGCGTGTTGGGAACGAGGTCTGTGGAAGAAGGCGGGATGAAAGGGGTTTCGGAGGCATTCCGTCGTTTTCCATCAGAAACAAAGCAAATATATATATATATA